ACAAAAAGAGTCATGGGGATGTAAAGTACAGCATAAGGAATGTAGTCAATATTGTAATAACTATGTATGATGGCAGATGAATACTAGATTTATTGGGGTGGTCACTTTGTAAGTTATAAATATGACTTAATCACTATGTTGTACACCTGAACTGTAATTTAAAAATAAAAATATACAGGGTCTGGCACACAAAAAATGCCCCTTTTAATTATAAAATCTTTTATTACAAAATCATAAGCATATAATTCTGTAACAAAACAATATCACACCCCAACACACAGTATGACATTTTAGGTGAAATGTTCAAATTAAAACTATAAATTATTACACCCATATTATTACCCTACCAGCCACACTCAAGCAGGTGCTACTTCTCCTGGACCCTGTATATTATGTTTAGAAAAATTTAATGGGCATGGTATGGATAGACCACATTTTGTTTATCCACTCACCTACTGATGGACATGTGGATTGTTTTCAGTTCTTGGCTATTAGAAATAACTGCTGTGAACATTCCTGAGATTTTTTTTTTTTTTGGTACACTGTAACAGCCACCCTTTGTTCCATTGTTGGAATAGACTAATCATTTACTGTTGTACATATTATTTAAACAGAGACTTTATTTTTAAAGCAGTTTTTGGTTCAAAACAAAATTAAAAGCAGAAGATACAGAGATTTCCCAACTATCCTCTGCACCCCCCCCAACCTCTCCCACTATTAACATCCTGTATCAAAGAGGTGCACTCATGGCAATCGATAAACCTACACTGATACGTCATTATCACCCGAAGTCCATAGTGTACTTGAGGTTCGCTATTGGTGGTGTACGTTCTATGGGTTTTGAAAAATATGTAATAACATATATCCACAGTTACATATTATAGAGAATAGTTTCACTGCCCTAAAAATCCTGTCTGTCACCTATTCATATGTACTTTGCCATAACTCTTGACAACCACTGATCCTTATACTGTTTCCATAATTTATGCCTTTTGCAGGATAGTCCAATAGTTCAAATCAATATAGTATGTAGCCTTTTCAGATTGGTTTCTTTCACTTAGCAATATACATTTAAAGTTCCCCCATCATGTCTTTTCATGCCATGAGAATTCATTTCTTTTTTAGTGATGACTAATATTTTATCTGGATATACCACAGTTTATCTATTCCCCCATGGAAGGACATCTTGGTTGCTTCAAAATTTTGGCAAGTATGATTAAAGCTGCCATAAACATCCATGTGCAGGTCCTTTTTTTTTTTTTTCCCTTTTCTTTTGTTAAAGATGTTACCAGAGAGGGGAAGGATGAAAGAAAGTAGAGAAACACCAATATGTGGTTGTTGCCTCTTGCGCGCCCCCTACTGGGGACGTGGGATGCAAACCAGGCCTGTGCCCTAGACAAGGAAATCAATCAGCAACCCTTTGTTTCACAGGCCAGCACTCAATCCGCTAAGCCACACTAGCCAGGGCCATGTGCAGGTTTTTGAGTAGACATAAGTTTTCTATTCCTTTAGGTAAATACCAAGGAACACGATTACTGGATCATATGGTTAGAGTATGTTTCATTTTCTAAGAAACTGCCAAACTTTTCCAAAGTGACTGCCAGTTTGCATTTCCCCCAGTGATAAATAAGAATTCCTGTTGTTCCATATCCTTACCACCATGTGTTGGTGTCAGTTTTGGACTTTGGCCACTTTAGTATGTGTGTAGTAGTATTATCTCATTTTAATTTGCAGTTCCCTCATGACATCTGCTGTTGAACATCTCTTCCTTTGCTTATTTGCCATCCATATGTATGTGTTCTTTGATGAGGTGTCTGTTACGGTTTTTGGCCCTTTTTTCAATTGTATTGTTCATTTTCTTGTTGAATTTTAAGAGTTGTCTGTTTATTTTGGATAACACATATCTTTATCAGATATATGTTTTGCAAATATTTTTCTCCCAGCCTGTGGCTATTTTCTCATTTTCTTGTCACTGCTTTTTAAAGAGAAGAAGTTTTTAATCTTAATGAAGTCCAGCTTATCAATTCTTTCTTTAGTGAATTTTGCTTTGGAGCTATAGCTAAAAAGTCATCACCACACCTAAGGTCTAGATTTTCTTCTGTGCTGTCTTCTAGGAGTTTTATAGTTTTGCATTGTACATTTAGGTCTATGATCCATTTTGAGGGTGTTTTTTTTTAAAAGATTTTATTATTTTTAGAAAGAGAGGAAGGGAGGGAGAAAGAGAGAGAAACATCGATGCAAGGGGGAAACACTGATCAACTGCCTCTTCTATACGCCCCGACAGGGGATTGAACCTACAACCCAGGCATGTGCCCTGACTGAGAACTGAACCAGCGACCAATGACTTTGAGGGATGATGCCCAACCAACCAAGCCACACTGGTCAGGGCTTGAGTTAGTTTTGTGAAGGATTTAAAGTCTGTGTCTAGATTTTTTTTTTTTTTTATGTGGATGTCCAGTTGTTCCAGCAGTGTTTCTTAAAAAGGTTTTCATTATACAGGTTTTCCTTGTTATCTGAAAATAGAGCATTCCTGTGAAACCTTTTCACAGGAATGTAAGCTAAAATAACACAAAGCAAGGAGTATACTCCGCTTTCCTAAAGTTTGCGGTCTGCCACTTCTCTTTTATGAAACATCTATGTTAGTATAGTAACAGCTTTTTTCATAAAAGTGAAAATCTTCTTTAGGTTTCATTCAGAGAAAACCACAGGTAATAATGTAGGACTTTCATAAAAGCAAAGTGGTATAACTCGAACTTTTAGAAAGCGGGCATACCTGTATTACCTTTGCTCTTTTGTCAAAGCTCATTGACTATATTTGTGTGAGTCTTTTTCTGGGCTTCCGTTCTGTTGCACTGATCTATTTGTCTATTCTTTTTACCAATACTACACATCATGATTACTGTAACTTTATAATAAGCCTTCAGGTTGAGTAGTGTCAGTCCTCCAACTTTGTTCTTCTCCTTCAGTAAGTATAGTGTTGGTTGTTCTGGGTGTTCTGCCTCTCCATATAAACTTTAAAATCATTTTGTCAATATCTACAAAATAACTCGCTGGGATTTTGACTGGGATTGCATAGAATGTATAGATCAATTTGGAAAGAACTAATATCTTGACAATATTAAGTCTTCCTATCCATGAACATGGAATAGCTCTTTATATATTTAGTTCTTTGATAGCATTCATCAGGATTTTGTAGTTTGCCTCATATAGATCTCTTACCCATTTTTGTTAGATTTATACCTAATTCATTTTCTGGGGTGCTAATGTAAATGTCATTTTATTTTCAACTTCAAATCTCAGTTGTTCATTGCTGATATATAGGAAAGTGAATGATTTTGTATATTAACTTTGAATTCTGTAATCTTGCTGCAGTGGCTTAGTAGTTTTAGGAGGGGTTTTTGTTGTTGATTCTTTCAGATTTTCTATAGATAATCATGTCATCTGCAAACAAAGACAACTTTATTTCTTCCTTCCCAACCTGTATACCTTTTATTTCATTTACTTGTCTTATTGCATTAGCCAGGACACCCAGTATTATGTCAAAAGGGAATGTAAAGAAAGGACATCCTTTCCTTGTTTCTGATCATAGAAGGAAAGCTTTAAGTATGATGTTAACTGTAAGGTTTTTTGTAGATGTCCTTTATCATGCTCAGACAGTTCCCCTCTATTCCTAATTTATTGAGAATTTTTGTTCTCATATGCAGAAACAGCATTTTTAATAGATATAAAACTTCCTTAATAGATAGGCTTGTTCATATGGTTTATTTGTTGTATTTTTTGTTTGTTTGCTTTTTGTTTTTTTCCTGAGGAAGGGTAGTTGAGTTCATGGAAGTTAAATATATGTGGGCTGTGACTCCCCTGGAAACAAAGTGTTGGTGCTCTTAGTATGGCTCAGATGTTGAAGTGGCTCAGCTGGCTTAAGCCCAGTTACTGGACAACACTTCCTGGATTCTATGAGGTGTATATGTGCATGTGTCTGTCCTTTCACCAGGTTCTTGGAATCTGGTAGGCTGCCTGCCTCTCCCCAGCTCATCTGTTTTTGTGTGTCTCTGCTACCTCTCAGCTTTCTAGAAAACACAGTCTTGCCTGAAAGCTGGTGATTTCACATAACTGGAGATTCCCAGCAGGAGATTCCCCATGGCAGGACATGGGCCAACAAGATACGGATATTCAGGAACATATTTTCCCTGTGGGACATTGAAGCCTTGGGCTGGCTCCCACCTCAAGGCCTTTGCACTTACTTTCCCTCTGCCTGGCACCCTCTTCCCAGATAACCATTTGGCTTCCTATCACTCAAGAAGTGCCTGGCTCAAACGACATCTTCCCCTGGAAGCCTCCACTGCCCTCATCAGTCTGTGCCAGTCTCCACTTTAGCCCTCATATCATTCTTTTAATTTTCTTCCTAGGATGCGTCAGTATCTACAAATAAAATATGTGGGCCTGTGTGTTGTCTGCCCCCATGGAATGTCATCTCCATGAGTCAGGGCCTTACCTTATCCTTGGATGGCCTAGATCCAGGCTTGACCCAGAATAGGTGCTCAGTGTGTATTTGGGAGTGAATTCCTTGCTCCCAACAGACTTTACCTAGTGCCCCAGCCTGACCCTGCCCAGCCCACCTTCCTGGGCCTGGCATCAGCAGAATGTACCTGGGGTGAAAGGTCCTTCGGCTGTCCCCCCTCTAGAGTGGTGATGGACCAGTCTGGTGCAGCCCCATCCACATGACTTAATCCCAGAACACTCGTGGATCGCCATGACCCTCGGCTTCCCTGCCCAGTATGACACATCTCACCAGAGCCAGTCACAGCCTTCAAATGGAGCTTTCCAAAAAACAAGTCAGCGAAGGGCCAGGGCTATGGACAGGTAGGGTACGAGGGAGGTGCATACAGACAAGCTCCCAGTGGCTATGGGGGTCCCAAGATGACAGCCAGTGACAGAGCTCACCCCTCACTGGCCTGGGAAGCCCCACTTGAGACTTACATGCGGATCTGGGTGTTTTTCAGGGTGAAGCTCAGCTCCTCCAAGGTCTCCTCCATCTCCTGTGTGTTCTGGATCAGCGAGAGGTTCTGCTCCTCCAGCTTTGTGAAGACGTCCAGGAGCTGCTGGGGCTCCGTGAAGAACAGCTCCAGCTCCTGCAACAAGTGTGTGTGTGTGTGTGTGTGCGCGCGCGTGTGCGTGTGTGTGGGGGGGGGGGTGCTGGTTTCCTCAGGCCCTGCCAGGAGTGGGACCACTGACCTCCCCATCACTGTCTGGGTCCTCTTGCACCGGGAGGGCAGAGCAGGACCTGTGGAGAAATGTGGGTTCAGGGCACCAGGGCCCAACCTATGATATTGTGCCCCACCCCAGTGGTGTAGACTCCTGACATTTACACAGCATCTCTCCACGCACAATCCCCTTGTCCTCCTTGTCGACTGCACAAGCTGCCCAGGTGGTGGCATCAGTTCCCTCTTGGTCCCTCAACTGTCACACAGCAACCAGGGGGACTATAGTTTTAAAATTCAGTTAACTCATCTCACTCCAGTTAGATAAAACTTGGCCTCCATCAAGGACCTGTGGGAGCTGTGCTGCCCTCCCAACCCTTGCCTCCCCCATTGCCCAAGGTCATTCTGCTCCTGCCCTGCAAGCTCCCTTCCTGTCTCTTCAGGAGCCAACCTTGCCTCAGGGCCTTAGCACCTGCAGCTCCCACTGTGGGAGCTGCTCCTCTCTATTTACCATCCTTTTTTTAAAAGCCACTTTCAGGGCCTTTTCTGCCCATCTCCCTTATCTAGATTTGGCCTTGATGGCCCTCATAACTGTCCTGTGACAGAGCCGCCTTCAGCTGACCCTGAGCACCCCACAGAGGCGGAGACCATCGGGGTCAGCCCACAGGAGTGCAGGAAAGGCTGTGTGGGCTGGGAGCACTCAGTGTGGGGCCCTGGAAGGCTTTCCAATCTCACCCGACACCTAGACCTGCTTTTATCACCCTTCTCACCTGCTCCAGCCTTGGCCCCCACCAAGGATTTGCAGGTTCTGCTGGCTGAAGAATGGCCAGAGAAACCTGGGCTGAGGACTGAGACACCAGGCCCTGACCTGCTTACAGTGGAAAGGTGAAAAACGCAAGGCCCTGTGGGAGAGTTACTAAGCACTCACTGGGCCTGTGCCTCATTGTGTACACATCAATGCCCATTTGGCAAATGAGGAACATGAAGCTCAGAGATCTAGTCACCTGCCCAAGGTCACCTGCAGGACATTTCTGGCCCATAAGGTACGTTTTTAAGAATCCGGATACAATGTAGGCAACCTCTACTGGCATGTTAAAAATTCCTTACTTTTAGAGTTGTATAAAATGCTAGAAAAAAAAAAAAAATCTGGAAACAGCCTGAGGTGTGGGCCAGACTTGTATCCACTCAACCTCTTGGCTAAACACCTTGTGCAGTCACACCCTGCCCAGCTGTAGTCAGAGGCCTGGCCACATGGCTAATACATGGATAGGCCCAGATGCAAATCAGGACAGAGTAATCCCAGACCTCTATTCTCAGGGACTGCCCCAATACAGGACCTTACAGTGGTAGCTTTGGGGCTGAGGGGCAACCTAGTCAGAGGAAACATACATATCTAACCTCTTGGAGCTTCCATTCAACACTGAACTGTAAATAACAGCCCCCACCAGCAGGGGTTACAGGGATCAGAGTAAACCAGGGCATGCACCTGGCCCACCAATGGTGGCTACTCTTCTCCATAAGGCATGACCATGATTCATAAAGATGAATGTGAGCTTGCAAATTGGTAGCACTTGGGTCACCTTCCCGCTGGAGAAGTATCAGTTTGGGATATGGGAGGTTGAGTGTAGGAAATAGCTAAGGGGAGGACAACCATGAGGGGGGGTGACCAGGCTACTGTAGAGAAGGAGGGACAGAGGACAGCATATAAATGGATGAGCAGAAGATACCCCAAGAAGCAGAGTGAAGGAGAGGTCCTTGAGCCCCATTCTCCCTATCCCCACTACCACCACCTTCATCCAAACTGATAAACCATGAAGCTTCCACAAGAAAGCATAGGAGGCTATTTTAGTGATTGTGGGGTTGGCAAAGATTTCTTAAGTAGGACACAACATGCACCAATTATAAAAGCAGAGATTGGTAAACTGGACTCAAAAGATAACATTAATAAGGCAAGAGAGACTAGATGAAGATACTTATAGTAGACTTACTACATAAAGGACTGGCATGCAGAATATACAAAGTAATAATAGAAAACTAGAAGAGAGGCCAGAAATCCAATAAAAATGTACAAAAATTGAACACTTTTCACAAAGAATATCTGAATGGCTATCATGATTCTCATCATAAAAATATTCAAACCCCTGTATTATATATCACCTGATATATAATACCTGACCCCTGTATTAACTCTTTGATTTTCTGTGTTCTGATATTTTGATATCTGAGACCATGTTGACTGAAGGATGAACACCCTGGAATGTGCTTTTCAAATACAAAGCAACCAATCCAGTGCCCATATCCTGGGCTCTCACACTGGAGGCATTATATCCCTGCCTCATTACCAGGGCCAGGTACCAGAAAACCAGGGACAGTCAGTATGCCTGAGAGCCCTGAATTTATTCAAAGCAGCCAGTTTAAACTTGCTTACCCTGCCTCACCCATTCCTGCCTGCTGAAACCACAATAAAGGCTACTATTTGCAGTTTGCTCCCTTTGCCTCCTGACCACCCTGGTGCTTCCCCAGGTGGCTCCCAGGGCTTGGCATGCGCCACCTCTGGGAACTGTTGAGTAACAAACTATCTTTACAGTGGTAATCACCTCCTGATCTGTTGGCCTTACGGAACTTCAAATTTCCTCTCAATACACTCTATTTTAAAACAACCCTGCCAGAATACGTAGAATGAGAAGGACTGACAATACAACAATTTGATGAGGAAGTGGGGAAGCTGAAATTCACGCGTGCAAGCAGAAGCTACTAAAGCTAAGCACATGTCCACCCTATGAACCAACAATTCCACCCGTATTTCCACAGAAGTATTGCTCATGTATAGAATAGTCCTCGGATGGAAGAGTGCAAGAATGTTTATAGTAGCTTTAATCAAAGCAGTCGAGGATTGATGATAACCCAGTTGGCCACCAGTGGAAGAGTAGACCAAGACAGAAGGGCCTTTTTTTTTTTGTCCCCTACCCCCCACAGTGAGATACAAACCAGCAGGAGTGAAGAGCACCCTGTGACTGCACAAAGCTAGGTGAGTGTGGAATCAAAAGAGCCACACCCAGAGAGCAGCGGTGTTCCACGTGCATCAAGTTCAAGAACGGAAAGTGACCCAGAGTGATGGACATCAAAACTGGTTAATTTCTGGTGTGGGTTCTCACCAGGAGAGTGCACCAGGGAGTTACCAGCAGTGGGATTGTTTTCTATCTGGATCTGGGTATGGTCACATGGGTAAAAAGCCAAATGTTCACTTAAGATTTGTTCATTTTGTGATGTCAATAACACTTCAATATAAAAGGAAAAGTAAAGACCGAAATCTGATCATGTCACTGCTTTGCAGAAACTTTATGGTGTCTGCAGGCCCTGGACCCAAAGGTGGACTATGGAGCCCAGGGTTCCAATTCTATCTGGCAGCTCTGTGCCTCAGTTTCCTCACCTTTCATGTGGGTGGCTCTCCAGAAGGTACTAGAGTTTGGAACAGCTGAGCTGTAGAAACAAGGGGACAGGGGCACCTTGCGGGGGGGTGGTGTGAGGATGGGGTAGTGTGAGGATGTGTAAGGGCTGGTTGGGGAGGGAGGAGGTTGGGAGTGGGGCAGGAGGAGATCTATCCTGTGATCACTGGTCACTGCTGGAGAGCACAGCAGGAAGAAGTCCAGGAGGTTTCTGAGAGGCGCTTGGCAGTCCTAGAGGTGGGAGCTGGAGGAACTACATACAAGACAGAGTCACTGGAACTGGAACTTCCCCAGGAGGAGGCCTGGCCTTCAACTGGAACCTCCTGGATAACTGATGAAGCCGTCAGACATGAGCATGATTCTGCTTGGTTAGCAGACCCAGCTTTGAGCCCCCGTGATGATTTTATGTGTCAGTTTGGCTAGGTCAAACATTATTCTAGATGTATCTGTGGAGGTGTTTTTTAGAAGAGATAATTTTTATAACCTTTAAATTGTCTCGATACATTTGCTATATTTTTATCAATATGAACAATGTTTTATATTTTGTGTTTTTAAAAATTTAATCTTCATTTTTTTCCCATTACCCTTTAGTCCCCTTATACTCCCCTCCCCCCAGTAGTCACCATACTGTTGTCCATGCCCATGGGTCGTTTTTCCCTTTTGCTCAATTCCTCCATCTCCTCATCCCTCCCGCCCCCAGCTGTCATCCTGCTCTCCATCATTGAATCAGTAGATTGAGTAAAGCAGCTAATGCCCTATGATATAGGTGAGCCTCACCCAGTCAGTTGAAGGCTTCAATAGAAGAAGACTGACCTCCAAAAAAAAAGAATTCTGCCACCCCAATGCCTTTGGACCCAAGCGATAGCAGCAGCTCTGCTTCCTTAGGTTTGTAGCCTGCTGGCCTGCCTGCAGAGTGTGGACTTGCCAGCTCCTCAATTGTATCAGCCAATTAAATTCTCTTTTCCCTGGCTCCAGGCATACGGGTCACTTGTTCAGGCTCCCCACATGGCTCTCCAGGCCCTCATCTCTCTGACCCAAAGTGGCCCAGAATCCATGGGAGAGGTGAGCATCCTGGCAGTGGCCCTGGCACTGTGAAGGTAAATGCCGGTCAGGCATTTGATGCTGTGGCCAGTGCCCCACACCGCAGTCACATCTTGTGAACTTTATTTTAGCCAGCATCAAGATACCAGGGACAAGACAGGCCACCAGGGAAGCTTGAACCCCGCCTAAAAAGGACTGCCTTTGAACCTACCTTGGCAATATCGCTAATGGAGAAATAGATGTGCAAGTCAGCTCCCTTGTGAAAGGAAGGGTGGGCATAAGAAAATCATTTTTGCTTGTATTTAGGTTGAATAAGGACATGCCAGTACTTTCTTGACCTACGTATGGTTCAATGTACTATCTGTTCAAAATTGGCAGAAAGGACATGCAGGAACTAATAAAACTCATTGCAGCACTGCCTGTGGCCTCCTGGGCCAACAGCCTGGAAGGAGGTACACAGGGACTGAGGGTTTAAGACTTTTCAGCTTTTACACCTTCTATAGAGTTATGATTTTTGTGAATGTTTCAGTGAGAGAGGAGTGACTGGGTGACCCAACAACTAAACATAGGCCCATCCTGTGAATCAGGTGGGGTGGGTGGAGTTCAGCTCTGGCCTTGGAGGTGAAGGAGTGGAGGGACAGATTTGCACTGACCCATGGACCTGTTTGGGGTTACCATCTGTCCATCATCGTGCCTTTTAGAAGATTTGAAAGTAACTGTCACACTTAAATCTGGGTGATTTTATAAAGCCTAGTCTTCTGGCTTCTCTTGATCAGCTCTGGAGCTCTGTCCCTTAAGCCAGCACGCCCAGGTCACAGAGGGCCAGCAGGGGGCAAGTGCCATCCTGTTCATTCTGCCCACCTGGCTGCCCTCATCTGTTCACACTTGACTAGTCTACTAGCACCTGAGTGGGCCACCCCAGGCTCTAGTTTACTGAATCAAGCAGAAGCAAACCTTTCTTGAGAAAACCTCTTGATTTCCCGGCTTAAATCAGACTATACTTTTATACCCTCTGGTTTGGAAAGAGCCCCTCCTCACATTCTCTCCTTCAGGGAGTCTGGGCCCATCCAGGGTACCCCTGGCCTATAACCATTGGGGAGCACCCCCCATCAGGCCTCAGCCACCTTTGCAGCTCCCCCAAGTCCACTTACCCTTTGGGGTCCAGCCCACCACTCATACTGGGCTGACTGTCCTGCTGGAGGCTGATGGTGCTGGACAGGATCTGCCTTGCCTGCACCACCTGCAGCACTTTCCGGGGCTTCCTTGCACCCTGCCCTTCTGGAGGAAACAGGAATAGTTTCTATGTGCCCCCAACCCAGTATGCGGGCCCTCCAGCCTGGGGCAGCCACATACCTCTGGAGCCTGTCTTGCCCTTGATCCCTGGTCCTACAGGAAGCAAGGGAGGAGTCCCAGATGGCCTTGGCTAGAATCAGGCTAGCAGGAACACTGCTTGGGGGCACAAGGTTCCCTGGGATCCCTCAGTAGCAGAAGGAGGAAGGTGCATAGGAAGAAAGCCCCTTAGGTTTGAGTTGAGATCCAGCCCTACTTCCCCAAGCAAGTGCTTGGGTTGAGCCACCAGTAGGTAAGGGGAGGCTGCTGCTCCAACTGGAGCTCTGTAGAGTATGGAGAGAGCCAAGTCCGTGGCCCGTACACCTCCAAGGCCTCTGTTGGCTGGACATAGGGTGTAAGTAGACCCAGGGCCTGGTATTCTCTTTACTGTTACCTTTGTCCCCTTGTGTGGAGAACAGAGTGTTCTCTTTGGAGGTCTCAGCGACCTCAACCTCCTCAGCCTGTTTGAGAGCCAAGTGCTTCTTCTCTTGTTCTTCCAACCACTCCTTGGGTGACAGTTTATACAGGAAATCCTTGTAGACCTTGTAATGTTGCAGAGTGTCTTCAAATTTGGAGATTTCACTAAACCAGGGAAGGGAACAGGTGAGGTCAGGCTCTGCCTACTGGGAAGCTCCCCCAAAGGAGCTTTTTTTTTTTTTTTTTTTGCTTCCTGGTCAAGAAAGGCAGGCACAGAAACAGTGTTGTGCCAGGGAGAGGACATCCACCCTGCAGGCCAATGTGGGTTATACCTCCCAGAGCGACAGTCCTCAGAGACTCTGCCTGCCCTCTCAGGGTGGAACCTGAGGGCCTCAGAGCCATGTGGGCCCTGTGTCCTGGTGGTGTGGAAAGTCACTGAACCTCTCCTGGCCTCAGTCACCTCATCTGTAAGATGGATAGCAGCCTGCAGGGCTTCAAATTCCTGACATGTTTAGAGTTCAGTGTTAAAATGATGAGGTTTGCATTGCAGAGGGCTCTCTTTGGTTAGAGGAGAAGTGATGGAGGAAAATGTGGGCAGGCCAGCCCAAGCCCAGTTTGCCTCTGACCTCACCTTTTGATGTTCATGATCTGGGTGGTCAGATCTCGGATTTCAGTGATCTTCTCCATCTTTACTTTGGTTTCCTTCTCTGCTCTGGAGGATGGGATTGGGGCAGAGAGGCAATCTCAGACTGTTAAAGAGGGGTATCCACACTGCCCTCAGGCAGGGCTGGAGGTGAGGGTGCTACCAGGGGGTTGGGTTGGGGTCAGGGTTGAGGAGGGGTCAGAGGGCAGGGATGGGGTGGAGACAGGGGCTGGGGCTGGGTCCTGGCAAAGTTAGGTTGGTGTGCACAAGACTAGGGGACTCTGGAGGGATGGTGCATGGCCAGCCAGCCCCTCTGGCCACAGGCTCACACTCTCAGGGCCTGCACCGAACTGCGGTCATTCTCCCTGAGGAACTCATCGAACAGGGCTGAATCCTTCTCCAGGGACTTCTCAGCCTGCTCCAGCTCTGCCTCCTCCTTAGTTGCCAGCATCTCCAGCCGCTGGATCTCACTCCGCTTCATATCCAGGGCATACTGAGGGCCACCAGAGCAAGAATCATGTTCCTCAATGCGACAGCCCACCCGGGTCCCCTTCAGAGGAGGAGATGGTCCTACCTGGATGAGGAACATTTGTCGTTTCTGGTTGATGTACTTGTTGATGTTATCAGATTCCCCTTTCTTTTCTGCAATAAGAGAAGGGAGGCATCTGGGGGATGGGGCGGGTAGTGGAAGAGAGACCCAGGTTCTTGGCTGAAGGATGGGTACACAGACAGAAGTGGAGAGCCAGTCAGCTGCTACTGGTGCAGTGCTGTGCTGCAAGGTCCAGGTTATTACGGGGACTGTGGGACAGCAAGCCCTTTCTCCAGCAAAAGGAGAGAAGGCTCTGCTGATATATCTCCATGCCTAGAGACAGGTCCAGGTAGGAGAGCCTCTCTTGCACTCCTCTCACCTGGAATGAGACTCTGAACACCCTGCCCAGGAAGTCTCACCCAGCTGGACTTCATAGCAAATGGTCTATTGCCCAGGACCTGAGAGAGAAAAATGGGGCACCATGATCTCTACTTGGTGTACCCTAAGTCCCCAAGGGCCCAATTTGAGCAGCAGCTAAGTCTACACTGCCAAAGTTTAAGCTAGGCAAGAGGATGTTAAGGTGGGCATCTGGATGGCCTTCCAGAACATAAGCACAGAGGCAGCACAGTGGGACCAAGGATGTGGGAGCCTCTTTCCTGGCCTTTCTGCAAATGAAGACCTAGATACTCCCCAGCTTTGGAGGCCTCAGAGACTGTGGAAATGACTGCAGAACTATGTGACTCTCTGTCTTGCCTCTCAAATCTTCTCTTTTCCAGAAGAAGCTGGTGCAGCAGTCCTATATTAAGTCTAGATGCCTGGCAGTGAGTCCACTAGGCCACTGTCTCCCTGGTCTACCCTGGGGGAAGTCTCTGGCCTCAAGGAAACCCAGCTTTTCACTGGAAACC